TCAGGGTCACAATTGCAAAACAGTAATTTGACAAGATAAAAATATTCAGTCCAATCCAGCAATGCAGGCAGCCAGCATAGAAGTGTAAACTCAGTACCAGAGTCAGTTTGAGGTAGCCACTCTGTCAGTGTAATCACAGGGTCCTAGAATCTCAGATGTAGGAAGCACCTCAAGAGGCCTTTCCTTCAGGGCAGTCAATGCTTTTCTGAATGATGATCAACTGCTCTATTAGTGTCCTTTAATTATCCAGGATACCTTTCTACTGTCAATCTGCCCATCAGAAACCTCTTTACAACCAGTAAACGTGCTGTCCTCTGCTGGAAAGCATGGAAAATATGAAAAGACTGCATTGACCTGGCCTCAAAGTATGTACAATACAGTGCCCAAGAAAAGCACTCAGGACTATCTCCAGCAGGAATTGCACCTGGAGAGTTGCAGTTGATTGTAAGCAATATTTTGGACATGGGCTACTGGTGTTTATCCCCTACACTAAAACCCTAGGAAAAGAAATTCCCATTATCTGTTTCCATCTCTCCTTTCCCTTAAACAAAACTTCTTAAACTCAAGAAATTGAAGACTTAGGTTTTGTCCAGACTGCTTTTCTAGTTGACCTGTTCACAAGATTCTTTCAAGTAACTTCTTCCATTTGGGACGGTGATGAAAACAAGAGGACCCTCTGCAGATGTTGTTGATGAACCAGCTCTCCAGAAATAAATGTTGGCAGGAAATGGGAGAGAGCTGGAAGAGCCTCATCAGTCATCAGCCCAAGAAGACCCTTTTCTAGGAGCTGGAGTCCTTGTGAAGGGGACATCTGTTCTTCTTAGGACTTCAGTGTTAGAGCTGTCTGGGGCCAGGAGGTAGCACTCAGAAAGTCCTAAGACCAAGGCCTGAGTCTACTTTGGGTTTGCAGAGACATCTGAGCCAAGTTATTTTCTCTCTGTGAGTCCCTTTTCTGCCTTGCCTTGAAACCATGCTATGGTCTCTTTGGGAGATGGAAGCTCTTGGATGTAGATATGCTTGACATCCTCAGAACCCAGTGCTCTCTGCAGACTGAAGCTCTTATACCTGTTCCCTGGGATCCAGTCAAGAGTCTATAGGCAAAAGAGGCATGCTCTCCACTTCTTGCTGGTAGCATTGCTCACTTAGAAAGTTCATTTTTAAAAATGGGTTTCATCTTTTCAGAGATTACTTTGATAGGAATCTTTTTCTTCCCAACTCTGTCTCTGCTTTTTTGTGGTGTTGGGGATTGAACCCAGGGCCTCTTGCATGCTAGATAAACACTTTACAACTGAACCACACCTTAGCCCATTAATTAAGGCTGTTTATAGTACAAGTCAATAGCAACAAGGGTATATGGAACATGTTCTGGTCCCTCGGCTTTAGTGTTCAGATCTTGTGTATACAACAGCTTTAAATAACCCTCTTTAAGTTTCTGGGAAATTTAATGGTATAGAAACTAAATTGGTGAGCAGGGGAATCTAGAACATGGTGGTGCTTCTCCAATGAGAAAATCTACAAATAGAGCAAATTTCATGAGAAACAACAGTATTTTACAGTACAGATCACCATTCATGCTTACAAACTGCACCTGAAATTCGCTTTCCATTTATAATCTTGAAAGGCTACTATTTAAGAAAGCCAATTTTAGTCGGATGCCGGTGGCTTACGCCAGTAGTCCTAGCTACTCAGGAAGCTGAGATCTGAGAACTGAGGTTCAAAGCCAGCCTGGGCAGGAAAATCTGTGAGACTCTTAGCTCCAATTAACACCAGAAAACTGGAGGTGGCGCTGTGGCTCAAGTGGTAAAGCACTAGCCTTGAGCTGAAGAGCTCAGGGACAGTGCCCAGGCCCAGAGTTCAAGCCCCATGTTCAAGAAAAATAAAAAAAATCACTTTCGAAAAGTTGTCCAGCAATACAGGGTGGAGGCATTATTTTCTGCTTTTCTGAAATTATGCCTATAGTTCTCTTTTTTATTTAAATCACAGGTAGTAAGAATCGAGCGGTTTCTTTGTTGATGTCCTCAGAGAGGAAGACCCTGTGTGTATCATAGCTTATCTCCTAGCAGCAGTTACAGAGTTGTTTCAAGTAACTAAGTAACTAGTCAACTCAGAAGCCAAGAATAAAAAAGCCACCAAAAACACCAGAAAGGCAAAGAAAGAAATTAGGTAAAATGGATATAAAGGGTTTGAACCGATAATTCTGTAAGATGTATGAATAGCCATTAAGCACGTGAAAATAACCACAGTGGGATTCTATGTGCAACTTAGTAGTTGCCTATCAGAATGGCTGTTACCCACAAACAAGAAGGTGGAAAAATGGAACCCTTATGTGTTGGAGATAGAAATGTGAAAAGATGCAGCCACTGCAGAAAATAGCGTGGTGGTTGCTGAAAAATAAAGCAGTGAATTGCCAGTGGTCCAGCTATTGTGCTTCTGAGTTAATATCCTGAAACACTGAAAGCAGAGACTCAAACAGATATTCAGAAACCATGACAACATTCTTCACAGCAGTCAGAATGGGACCAACCTAAGTGTCTATCAGTACTTAAGTGGAAACAAAAACAGATGTGAACAAACGGTAGACTATGACTCAGCCCTAAAAAGGAAGGAAAAATTGAGCAAGGCACTAGTGATTCATACATACCTGTAATGCTAATCACTTGGGAGACTGAGAATAGGAGGATTGTTGTTCAAGGCTAGCTGATCAAAAAAAAATCACAAAATTTCTTCTCATCCTGGTCACAGCAGTATATTCCTGTCATCTCAAGCTACATGGGAAACTGAGATTGGAGGATTGAGTTTCTAAGAAAAAAAAAGTCCTTGAGACTTCATCTCCTTGGAGGGAATCTGGATGAAGTGGCATGTGCAAATGTGACCCAGCAGTAAGTGAAAGCCTAAAGTAGGCAGGTCATAGCTCAGGCACAGGCACATGTGCAAGCAAGAAGTGAGACCTTATTTTAAAAATAACCAATGAAAAATGAGGCCAGAGGTATAGGTAAGTGCCTAGCCAGAACAAGGCACTGAGTTCAAACTTTAGTTCTGCAAAAGAAAGAAGAAAGGTAGTTCTGCAAAAGAAAGAAGAAAGGAAGGAAGGAGGGAAGAAAGGGAGGGAAGGAGAAAGAGGAGAAAGAAAGATGAAGAGGGGAGGGAGGCCATGCACTGGTGGCTCATGTCTGTAATCCTAGCTCTGCAGGAAGCTGAAATGTGAGGATTATGGTTCAAAGCCAGCCTGGGCAGGAAAGTCTGGGACTTCCCAAAAAGCTGGTTCAAGTGGTTCAAGTGGTACAGTACTAGTCTTGAGCAAAAGAGCACAAGGACAGCACCTGGGTCCTGAATCCAGGAGCCTTGCCCCCCCCCAAAAAAAAAAAGAATAAAGGAAAGAGAGAAACTTTATCCATTGTACTAGTGACTCACCCCTCTAATCCTAGCTACTTGGAAGGTTGAGATTAGAATTTCAATTTGAGGCCATCCCAAGTATAAGTCGAGAATTCTTCTCAACCAGAAGCTGGATGTGTGTGGTAAAGTGTGCCTGTCAACCTAGCCATATAGGAGGCTGAAATCAAGAGGATCCCTTATTTCTCATCTAAGCAGCATCCTGAGCCTTTCCTGAATCAGTATTGCTGATTCAGGGGTGGGGGACAACCAAAACTTTGCAGGGATTGAGATACTTCTCAAGAAGGGCCAGGAATGAAGTAGTCCCAGCTGATTTTCTTAAGATCCTAGGTTCCAGGTAGCAAGCCAAGTGTGAGGAATGGTGGATGTTTGGTGGGTGAAATGAACCATGCAGCCCACAGGCCTCTGAGGCCTGCCAGGAATGGGCCCAGTGGGCATCACATAGCCTTGCTATGGTAACTCCAGCAGGGAGGCCATCAGCTCTGTGAGGTACCTTGGAGATCCCATGGCTTCACACATCTTCCTAGGGGCTCCTCTTGCTTTCAGAATGTGGCTGGTCTACCTGCAAGTGCTGCTGAGAGTGGCATTGGCCAGAACCCATCCCAACACAGCTTCATCCCCTCCTGTGAGAGGCATCACACTTTTGGTGACAGTCTTGTCACTGATACCATGCCTGATAGGTTCTAGAGCTGAGCATGCTACTGACGCCATGTTAACTTTTCATCCTGGCCTTTATATGTCAGAACAACTGTTTAGGGGGTAAAAATAAAACATGGAACCTTTACCTCATAGTAGCTTATTGAGGAACCTTGTATTGGATAGTTCTTGAACTTGGGCTGCTTTCTTTGAACTCAGTTTGTGTGTTATTCACTCTAACATACATTTGGAAGATGGTGGCTGGTGGCAGGAGACAGATCCTGTGTGTATCTGGTCTTCTTACTGAATGGGTTCACTGAGCAGGAGCCACCTTGATCTTCCTCTCTTGGAACACGTGTGCAAGTGGCTATAATGGTTACCATTGTTAAATGAGGAAGTCAAAACAGAAATGAATCAGTTTCCTAAGATCACCAGCTGTGTGGTGAGATGATGGGTCTGGCTCAGGGCTGTCAGGACCTGGCTAGAGCCATCTTTCTGTGCTAGTATTTATCTGAACCTTGATGAACTATATACATGTGGTCTGATGTTTTCTTGTGTGAGTGTGTGTGTGTGTGTGTGTGTGTGTGTGTGTGTGTGTGTGTGTGTACGTACATATGCTTTAGCACTGGAACTTTAATTCAGGGCCTGGGACACTGGTGCTTCACCACTTAAGCCACAGTTCCACTTTCAGCTTTTGAGGTGGCTAACTGTAGATCAGAGTCCCATGGGCTTTCCTGCCCAGGCTGACTTTGAACCTCAATCCTCAGATCTCAACATCCTGAGCAGCTAGGATTACAGGCATAAGCCACTGGCACCTGGCTTGTATGTTAGGCAGGTCTGTCCTGTGAATCAGAAACTTAGGTGTGTTCACAAACACATCACTCTCGTCTCTGTGCTCCAGAGCTGGCTTTTAATTGCTCTAAGGCTTCTAATTGCTTCTCAGGTCTCTAAGTGTGTGTGTTTCTTGGCTTCAGAATCATAACCATGCCTGCATAGCCTGTCGGATCATCTACCGCTCTGATGAACACCACCCTCCCATCCTGCCCCCAAAGGCTGACTTGACCATTGGTCTGCATGGGGAATGGGTGAGCCAGCGTTGTGAGGTGCGTCCTGAAGTCCTGTTCCTCACCCGCCACTTCATCTTCCACGACAACAACAACACCTGGGAAGGGCATTACTACCACTACTCAGATCCTGTGTGCAAGCACCCCACTTTCACCATCTATGCCCGGGGCCGATACAGTCATGGCATGCTCTCCTCCAGGGTCATGGGTGGCACAGAGTTCGTGTTCAAAGGTAGGTCTGCTACCTCCTGTCCCTACAGAGTGTCTCAGGAGCTGTTCTAAGATGTTTTTGTTGAGGCAGAGCCTGAGAGAAGAGGCATGTTCTTCTTTTTCTTTTATTTTTCTGTGCCAGTGTTCGGTCTTAAACTCAAGACCTGAACTCTGTCCCTTAGCTTTTTCACTCAAGGCTAGAGCTCTTCCATTTGAACCACAGCTCTACTTCCAGCTTTTTTTTTTTGGTGTTTAATAGGGAAAAAGAGTCTCATAGACTTTCTTGCCCAGGCTGGCTTTGAACCTTGATCCTCATATCTCAACCTCCTGAATAGCTAGGATTATGGACATGAGCCTCTTGCATCTGGTAAGAGCATCTTTTTATTTTGCTCTATATGCTAGGGATGGACTAAGGGAGCTATTTTTATCTCTCAAAGCATCCTTGGAAATGCCCCTGAGCCCCAGTCTGGTCAGCAGGGCCAGATCCATCCCTGGAGCTTAAATGTAGTGGATTCCATATCACTATATGGGTAGCTATCAGGTATGGCCCAGCCAGGACACTACTTGAACAGAACCTTACCTCTGTGTGTTCCTTTATTGGCACACTTAGGCAGGACTGAGCTGCCTCTCTGACAGTGTCATACTTGTTCATGTGCCAGGTGCCTTTCTGATGGGGGAGCACATGTGTATACATTGAACACACACAAGTATCTGCTCCACAGTACAAACCTGCCTAACAAAACAGACCACACTGTGCCTGTATCTCAAGCCTATAATCCTAGTGCTCATGAAGATCATGGCTCAAAGCCAACCTTGGCAGAAAAGTCCATGAGACTCTTACTTCCTATTGTCCACATTAAAAAAAATCAGAGATGTGGCTCAAGTGGTAGAGTGCCAGCTTTGAGTGAAAAGCTAAGGGACAGTACCTAGGTCTTGAGTTCAAGCCCCAGTACCATTGAAAGAAAAAAAAAAGCCAGGTGCCAGTGGCTCATGCTATAATGCTAGCTACTTAGGAGGCTGAGGTCTGAGGATCATGGTTTGAAGCCAGCCCACAGGAAAGCCTGTGAGACTCTTATCTCCAATTAACCACCAGAAAAACAGAAGTGGAGCTTTAGTTCAAAGTAATAGAGTGCCAGCCTTGAATGAAAAAGCTCAGGGACAGCACCCAGGCCCTAAGTTCAAGCCCTACAATCAACAAAAAAGATAAAAATCAGGCCACATATATGCAATACATTAGAGCCAAGCTGAGTAGCAGCACAGAAAGAGCTGTGACCTGGTCCTGAGACCATAGACTAGCCCTACCTCCTCACAGCTGGTGAGCCTGGCGACTCCTCTGAGGCTCAGAGTTGCCATTCCCAACCTGAGCTCCCCCTGCATGTCACCTTGTCACAGACTGGAAGGTAGGAGCACCACTGGGAAGGTTGGAGCTGAGTGCTAATCACCAAGCAAAGAGGCTGGGTCACTTGAGGCTGTTCACAGCCCAGGGGCCTTGCAGACACTGTTTTAATTCTCTTTTTAAAGCTTGAACATCTTTGTAAAGTAGCACCTCCCTTGAGATACCAAGTAAAGACTGATGGCTTTGGTCCTGAGGTGAGCCCTCCAAAGAAGCATTGTAGTATCATATTGTGCAAGGTTCCCAAAACATCTTAGCCCATCTGTTCAGGGATGCAAGTTAATTCCTGGCACACCAGCCTCTGCCTTGTGATGAGCCAGGCTGGGGACATTCAGTCTCTGACCACTGGTCCCAAAACCTGTTATGTTACATGCAGTTGAGACCAGGGGCTTCCAGAGAAACACCCCACAAAACTGGGCTTCTGTTCATTTATTTACTCTTTTTGTTTGTTTGTTTGCACTCTGACTTAATTTAGATGTCTAATTTAGGGGCCGGTGCTAATTTTTAAGACTGATGGATAGTTGACACCAGCACTTTGTCATAGACACAAGCATTTATTATTTTTGCATCCTAAGGAGTCATTTTTTGCAAACACAATTTCAGGGAAATACTGTGATGGTTTCCTGTTATACTGCCGGGCACAATCAGCCACACACTGAGCACAGCATTTACACACCAAATGCAGCCTGTGTTTGCTGGCCACAAAAGCTGCTCCTTGCTATCTGCAGGGAATTAATTACAGAACCCATTAGAATACCAGGCCCCAAGTTCCCCAAGTCCCTATAAAAAAGCATAGTGAAACAAGGTGCTGGTGGCTCATGCCTTTGATACTAGCTACTCAGGAGGCTGAGATCTAAGGATCTTAGTTCTAGATCCTCAGCCAGTCCAGGCAGAAAAATCTGACTGACTGTTATTGCCATTTAATCAGCAAAAAGCCAGAAGTGGAGATGTGGTTGGTTGCTAGGCTTGAGAAAAGGCCTTGCAACATGAGCACAAGGCCCTGAGTTTAGGCCCCAGTACTGGCACACACAAAAATATAGTGATTTCATCTGCCTTACAACAAGCCTCCCTTAGGATAGCACATATAATTCCTTTAATTTTAATTTATTATTTTTGCTGGTCCCAGGGCTTGAACTCAGGGCCTGGATGTTGTCCCTGAGGCTCTACCATTTAAGCCACAGCACCACTTCTGGCTCTTCTGAGTAGTTTATTGGAGATGAGTCTCATGGAGATTTTTCTGTCTGGGATGGCTTCAAACCACAATCCTCAGATTTCAGCCTCCTGAGTAGATAGCATTACAGGTATGAGCCAGTGGTGCCTGGCTAATGCATAATTTCTAGGTTACCAATAATATCTAGCACACATAACACAATGCCAGTGCTCCATCAATACTTGATATACTGCATTAAGAGACTAAGAATATTCAAAGCTGGACACTGGTGGCTCACACCTGTAATCCTAGCTATTTAGGAGGTTGAGACCTCAACATGATAGTCTGAAGACTTCTCAAGCAGGAAAGTCCATGAAACTCTAATCTCCAGTTAGCCACAAAAAAGTCAGAAATTGGACCAGGCGCTGGTGGCTCACGCCTGTAATCCTAGCTACTCAGAAACCTGAGATCTGAGGATCGCAGTTCAAAGCCAACCCAGGCTGGAAAGACTGTGAGACTTTTATCTCCAATAAACCACTCAGTAAACCAGAAGTGGTACTGTGGCTCAAGTGGTAGAACGTTAGCCTTGAGCTGAAGAGCTGAGGGACAGCGCCCAGGTCCAGAGTTCAAGCCCCATAACGGACCCAAAAAAAAAGTCAGAAATAGACTTGAGCCACATCTTAGCTTCCAGCTTTTTGCTGGTTAATTGGTTTAACATGGATGTAGAACCTGTGGGTACTGAGGGCTGACTGACTGTATTTGGCATAACTGCCATTTCCCTGGTTATGTGGGACTCCCTGGCCTTAACAGTGACTCCATGGTCAACAGTGCTGGAAGGTGGTAGCATTGTTTTCTGAAAAGAAAGCCTTGTAGAGGTCGAGGGTTCCCACCACTGGCTGGGTGAGTCACAAGAATCTCTGTCTCCCACAGTGAATCACATGAAGGTCACCCCGATGGATGCAGCCACTGCCTCACTCCTCAATGTCTTCAATGGGAATGAATGTGGGGCTGAGGGCTCCTGGCAGGTGGGTGTTCAGCAAGATGTGACGCACACCAATGGCTGTGTGGCCCTGGGCATCAAGCTACCTCACACAGAATATGAGATCTTCAAAATGGAGCAGGACGCCCGGGGCCGTTACCTGCTGTTCAATGGCCAGAGGCCCAGCGATGGCTCCAGCCCAGACAGGCCAGAGAAGAGGGCCACATCCTACCAGATGCCTTTGGTCCAGTGTGCCTCAGCCTCGCCCAGGGCGGAGGACTTGTCAGAAGACAGTCGGGACCAGGCACCAGGGAGGAGACCCCAGGCCCTGCTGCCTACTGTCCTGTTAAGCCTTTTGACTTTACTACATTGGAACATCCTCAGATAGAAGATTTTTAGAAAATGCTATTTTTTCTAAACTAAGAATCCCTTACCATTTACAGATTTTTTTAAACAAAAAAAGACATGATTCTTTTGATGCACTTGAATGCCTGAGAACTGTCATCCCCTTCCCCCTCCAGCCTGAGTCATGAACAGCCTGTTTGAAGTTTTCTGCTTTGAACTCCGTCCAGCTGATTCCTGGCCTGAGCAACTTCGTGGCACTTTAAGCCTGCAGCATTTGGGGCGAGCGTGTTTGGTAAAGGCAGCTGGGGGTGGGGGTCAGAGCTAGGTCCTTCCATTTTTGTGCTTCCAATTATTATTGTATTGCTGAGTTGAGCTTAGAAGAAGCATATGACAAGCTACATTTTTTTCCTGCCATTTTACTATGGTTATGTCCTGTCTCCTTTGAAACAGTTTTACACTCCAATTTTTCTATGATGGAATCCTACACAGAATTAGTTTGGGACTGTAATCAAAACACCTTGCCTTAAGATAGAGGAGCCAAATGATAGTAGTTAATGACTGCAATCCTAGCTACTGAGGAGGCTGAGGAGCAAGGTTCAAAGCCAACCGTAGGCTGTAAAGTCTATGTGAATTATCTCCAATTAACCAGAAAAAATCTGGAAGTTGAGATGTGGCTCAAGTGCTAGCCTCGAACAACAACAAAAAAAAAAACCCAAAAAGCTAATGGATAATGCCCATGCCAAGAGTTTAAGCTCCAGCACTGGCCAGCACATGCATGCACACACGCACGCGTGCACACGCACACACACACACACACACACAAAGATTTAGGTATAGATATGTACAGAGGAAAAAGTACAAGGTTTAGCTAAACTATCTTATAATCTATACCAAAATAAGGAGAGAAATCACAACTTTAGGAAATGTTGCGTGGGAATGTATGGTAATTAAAGTTTAAAAGTAATTTAAACTGTTCTTACTTTATTATTTTTGTTTTGCTGAGAGAAGAGGCACATGTTCTGTGCTGCTGGTTACATAATGCAAGCTGCTTCTGTATTTGTTCTCACCAGGCCCAGACACTGGGAAAAATAAGAAAGCAAGCTAGTTTGGTGCTGGTGACTCATGCTGAGATCTGAGGATCATGGTTTGAAGATAGTCTGGGCACAAAATCCCATAAGACTCTTATCTCCAGTTAACCAGCAAAATGCCAAATGTGGAGCTGTGACTGAAGTGGCAGCACTCAACAGCCTTAAGTGAAAAAGCTAAGAGTCATAGTCGAGCCCTGAGAGTTCAAACCCCAGTGCCAGCACCAACAAATGAAGTAACAACAAAAAAGAACATCATGATTCTAGTCAAGAACAGGTTCCTCTGGGCAGCAGCAGTGGTAGAAGCCACCTGAGTGATAGAGACAGTGCACGTTCATCATAGCTTCCCTGTGGGGCATTGAATCCTGGCACACAGTATGTGGTTAAGGGCAGGCAGAGGGAATCATTGCAGCATCTCTTCCATCTTCAAAGATGAATCTGTTCTGATGCTTCAGGAGCTATTCCTGGAAGATGGGTTGGGAATCTGCCACAGTGGATCATCCCTCCATTAGTTCACACCTGGGTGGAGCAGCTTGGTATGAGTTATCAAACATGCCAGCTTGACTCAGTTTCCTTCCTGTCCTGTCCCTGCCATGTTTTCAAGGCCATCTCACTCAGAGTCAGCTTTTTTTTTTTTGCATGCCATAATTCCTTTTGATTATTTCAACTAGTGCTGTGTTGTCTCCCCACCAAGTGTTATTGCTCCTAAGGACCAATGTTGACAAGAGATGTGTAGCCCAAGACCTAGGTATAATGAGAGCAGACATGGAGATCATGGTCCAGAACACTCACCCTCACATTTAAGAATTCACGTGGGAGCTTGGCATAGTGGTATATGCTGCCTATAATTCCAGCACCAAGGAGGCTGAGATAGGTAGATCACAAGTTCAAGGCTAACTTGGACTTCAGGAGGAAAAAAAATTAACTTTATGAAATGCAGAGTTTTTCCAGTGTGTTATTAAGTTATAATGATGACATGGGATAGGAAAGTGCTTTATTTTTAGATATTTAAAATCATGGTGCATACCTAGGGGGGTTTATTCCAAATGAAAATGCTAACTTAATGTCAGCCAAGTTTAATAAACAAAAAAGTCAAAAGTTTCCCATAGAGTATGTCTTATCTGTGAGCTTATTAATTGCCATTTTCTTTTTAGGGGGTGGCCAGCACTAGGGTCCTGCTTGCTAGGCAGGTACTCTACCACTTAAGCTGCACTCTTGACCTTTTTTTTACTTTTAGTTATTTTTCAGATAGACATATACAATTTTCCTAGACCAGCTTCTGATTTGATCATCTTTCTGTCCCCTGCATAAGCATGCATCATCCCTCATAGCTCAGGTTTGAGATAGGGTCTTTCTAATGTGTTTGCTTGAGCTGGTATGGAATCACATTTATAGACATGAGCTACCATGTGTGGTCCTTTAATCTTTAAAGTGAAAAACTATTCATTGCTAAAACATGTCTCGGTGACCAATCATGAATGACAGGATTATAGTCTCCCAGTTCACACCACCCACCTAGAATCAGGTATTTTAAAAGTATGCCAAAGCCAGAAACCAATGGCCCAAGCCTGTAATCCTAGCTACTCATGAGGCTGAGATCTGAGGATCAAGGTTTGAAGCCAGCCAGGGAAGGAAAGACCATGAGACTCTAATATCCAATTAACCAGCAAAAAAGTGAAAGTAGAGCTATGGCTCAAGTGGTAGAGTCCTAGCCTTAAGCAGAAAAGCTCAGGAACAGCACCCAGGCCCCGAGGTCAAGCTCCAGGATCAACACACACACACACACACACACACACATACACAGAGTATGCCACATATGTTAATCTGTACACAGTATACATGAAATCCATGTGATCATATCACTTCTGGTGTATCATAAATCATTACTGAGATAGACCGATATAATTTATTTGTAAATCATTGATACTTAGGTATATATCTGTGTGTGTCACCATGTGTATAATCTTGTCTGGGTTGTGTCATATCGACATTAACAGATGTCTCTAAAGGCATCCTCTCTCGTGTACCAGTGGTCTTCATACAAGTGTGATTTCCCATCACCTTTGAAAAGGCAACAGTCCAGGGCTGGGAAGGTGGCTCAGTGGTAGAGCGCTTGCCTTGCATGCCTGAGGCCCTGGGTTCGATTCCTCAGCACCATATAAGCAGAAAAAAAACCCAACAGTGGCACTGTGGCTCAAGTGGTAGAGCACTAGCCTTGAGCTGAAGAGCTGAGGGACAGTGCCCAAGCCCAGAGTTCAGGCCCCACGACCGGACCCAAAAAAAAGGAAAAAGCAACAGTCTAGCTCTAGGCTGTTCAGGCTCGAGAGTCACAAATGCTCATTCAATACCAAGATATTTTTCTGATCCTAGATCATTCTATAACAAACTTAAAATACTCTATAGTATACCCTTGTGTACTGGCAAGTCTGTCCCTAAGTGAGTGGTAAATGTGCTTATAAATACTAGATTTGCTGCACCAGTGGTTCCAGTAGGATCCATACAAGGCATACTGCCCTCCTTCTCCCTTAAGTCTCTCCAGGTTCCAGTAAACACACCATTCTAACTCTCAACTTGTCTGAGAGTAAAATTTTAATTCCACCTCCAAGTGAGACATGTGGTAACTGTCTTCCTGTGCGCTTTCATTCATTTAATGTAAGGACCTCCAGTTCCATCCATGTTGTCCCAAGTGATAATATTTTATGCTTCCTGGCTGAATAATACTACACATATATTGCATAGCCTTTCTGTAGCCATCAATTGAGGAACGTATAGACAGTTCCTGTTTCTGGGCTACAGTAAATAATGCTATAATAATCATGGGCACACAGATGTCTTTCCTATAGACTGATTTAATTTCCTTTGATGTGTATAGTGATGGAATTGCTCTATAATTCAGTATTTCTATGTTTAGTTATTTTAGGGACTTCAATATAGTTGTCCACAATATCTGTACTAATTTGCATTCCATTAACAGTGCCCCAAGGTTCCCTTTTCTCTACATCCTCACCAGCACTTGTGATTTTTGATAGTAGCTATTCTAACTGGAATATGGTGGTAACTTATTATGGCTTTAATTTGCATATTATAATTGTGATAATAAACATGCTTATGTTTCTGTTGGCCAAAAAAAGTACTAGACTTTGGGAAAATCATGAATAAACAAAGGGATGCCCTTGCAGACTTCTCTGGCCTGCTGCAACTAGGTTCTTAGCCCTTTGCTAAAACAAAGCATGGGAGACTGGATAATTTATAAAGAATACACAGTTTTGTTTTGGCTTACAGATCTGGAGCCTGGTCAGCCCATATCAGGCAGCCACATGTGACCAGGCCCTGGGCTACTTCAGCACATGGGTGAAGCTGAAAGATATGTAGGCTTGAGTATAAGAGGCAAAAACCAGGGTGGGCTTGCTTTATTCAACCCAGGCTCTGGAGCAGAGCAAGCACTCGCTCCAAAGATAGATGTCAGTTCTTTCATGAGGCTCTGCCCATGACCCACTCCCTCACCAGGCTTCACCTCCCAGCGCTGTTGCATTAAAGAAATTCAGGTTCCAATACATGAACTTGAGGAAAGCCTGAATGCACAACATCAGGCTTCATTGCTTACTGGGGTGCAAACTGATGGGTTAGGACCATAAACTTTGAATAAATTTAGATGCAATCAAGACTTCAAACTCTGGGCTGGGAAGGTGGCTCAGTGGTAGAGCGCTGAAGAGCTGAGGGACAGCGCCCAGGCCCACAGTTCAGGCCCCACGACCGGACCCAAAAACAAAAAAACAAGACTTCAAACTCTAACCAAATTGATCCCAGGTTCCAAAAGGAAACACCTAGCATCTACTTTTCTCCACACAGAAGAAAGGGTCTGTTTTCTCAGACATGACAAAGCAAGTCTGGTACCCTACAGTAGTCAAACATTCTGCCCAGCGTGTATGCCTCCAAATGATTTTGTCTGTATAGTGGTCTTAGGACAGCCCACTGGGGCATCCCAGCAGTGCCAAGCATGAAGGGCCCCTGCTGGAGAAGCTGGCAGTCGTACATGTCCCATGTTTATAGGAGCAACTTGACCATGAGATTTGTGGTTTCTGGATAAAGGAAAGCTCCTATGATAATCAAAGACATTCTGTGCTCTTACTAGTGATTTTCATCTACAGTGGAAATGAAGGTTCTGTGCCTGGCTGTGCATAGGAGCATCATAGCATTTCATGTTAAAATGGTGCCCATCTGGGCAAGATTCTAGACATGTTACAATTAAACATAGAAACCCATAGTGTTGCCAGGGCGGTCATGCTTGTAATCCTACCTATTCAGGAAGCTGAGGCCTGGGAGATCATAGATCAAAGTCAGCCTGGACAGAAAAGTTCAAGATATTCCATCTCCAATTAACCAGCAAAAAGCCAGACTGGAGGTGTGAGGCCATGGTACTTGCAAAAATAAGGGATGTAAGGAAGGAGAGGGGGAGGGAGGTAGGGAAGGAATAAAGGGGAAGAAGCCCACAGAACACGTAATCAGATGTGGCAGGATAAGATTCTGGGGCAGAGGGCTGGGAAGTTGGCTCAGTGGTAGAGCGCTTGCCTTGCATGCCTGAGGCCCTGGGTTCGATTCCTCAGCACCACATAAGCAAAAAGAAAAAAGCCGGAAGTGGCGCTGTGGCTCAAGTGGTAGAGCGCTAGCCTTGAGCTGAAGAGCTGAGGGACAGCGCCCAGGCCCAGAGTTCAGGCCCCACGACCGGACCCAAAAAAAAAAAAAAAAGATTCTGGGGCAGAGTTACTGCTGGAGGTGGGGGGGGGGGCACAGGCAGAATGAGTGGGTCCACCCAGGTTCAGAGACCTACCTAGCCCACACAGGTGTCCCCAGACTTCCTGTGACATCTGTGCTCTCATGACTCCAGATATCTCTCATAAGATTGGACCAGAATCAAGAATCAAGACCAGACTTGAATCAGTATTCTCCATGAAGCAGTAGATTGGTGAGAAAATCCATGAGTACCTTTTCTCACCTGTCCTAAAAATTAAGCAAGTCCTT